AGGGAGTTGTTAAACCAGCGCTGCTGGTGACCAGCAGCACAAAGCAAGTCCTTCTGTGCTTCTGTGAAGTGAGCTGGGGTCATCTGCACACTACTGGGTTCTGCAAGGCTGTCCAGCCTGGTTTAATGCTCATCCCCCTCCTTCTGCTTCTTCCCCTTGTGATGGAGCTGGCCGTGGTCTCCATGGTGGTGGTGAGCATGGGTAGCGGGTTTGTGGTCCTCACTTGGGTTTGTATCTCTCTCACTGCTGACCTTGTGATGGTGGTGAGGATGGAGGGGCTTGTGCTGGTGCATGGGGGTCTCTGACTCCATCCCCTTGTGTTCAGGAAGTGAGCTCGGGGTTGCAGGGCCCTCCATGGTACTGTTAGCCTGAGGAAAGTAACACAAGGACTGGTGTGGTATGCAAATGCCACAGAGCTCTGCAGAAAACCTGGGAGCACAGCTGTGAACTGGGAAAAAGGCAGACCAACATTCATCATACAGAAATCTGTGGGTCAGAGCAAATGCTCTCCAGCCCTGATCCATGGCAGAGGGAGGACAGGAGAGGCTGCAGCACAGGGCACAAACCTCTACACTTGTGTCCCTTGGCTCCAGCTGTCTGTGGTCCAGAAACAGGAATATGCATTTAGTATTTCTGGATGTATTTTTCTCCTGAGAGGTGCCTGCCAAGCTCAGAGCTACACCCTTTTCTTTGCTCTGAGCTTGCCACCTCTGCATCCACTGCCTGCCCTTTCTTATATCAGAACAGTCCTAGTTAGCATTCCCAGACATGGGATATGACCCCTTTAGTCAATTCCTTTTCAACCGGAAAGCTCTGACCTATTTAAGTGCCCTTATTCCAGACCTTTCATCACCTTCCCTCTCAAACACATCTGAGGGCAGCTGCCAACCTAGAGCCCATCCCCAACACGGAGATAAGATTGTTTTTGCTGATGTGCAGTGCCAAAGGACAGAAGGGATCCCGGCTCCAGCGAGCATTCCAGCTCTTACCTGCTGGGTAGTGTTGGGGTAGAGGGAGCAGTTGCCACAGAAGTCCTTGATGTGGCTGGAGCGGATGGCTGCCTCCACATAGGGGAAGTGGAGAAAGCTGAAGGGCAACTGGATGTGGAAAGCCAGGCGGCCACACCTGAGGGGAAAAGTCATGGCCTGGCTCAAGGCAGGGGTCTGGAATCCCCCCAGCCCAGCCACGAGGGGAGATTTTGGACGCTCTATAACACCCAGAAAAGCCTCAGGCGAATCGGGGGACACTCACCGGTCATAAACAAGGAAGTCGTCCTTGTCACCCCCCAGGACCTGCCAGACGTCAGGGTCCTTCTGCTCCGGCTGGAAGACGGGGACGCCGGGCGGGGCATGGCGCTCCAGCTCCGGCAGCATGGCGCGGGACAGCGGCGCCTTCTCGTTGATGATCATGTAGCGGACATCGGCCATGCCCTGCCGGGCCAGCCGCTCCCGCAGGCCCCCCAGGCTGCGGGAAGGAGGCACTGGAGGGGCTGCCGGGGCAGGGGGCTGCCCTACGCCCCCGAGGCGGGGGGATTGTTCTGGGGAGGGGGAGCGCGGCTCACCTGTGGGCCTGCCGCAGGCAGAATTGTCAGCTGGCCTTCAGCAGGGCCACCACCGTCACCTGCCCTGCCGTCCCCTCCATGGGGCTTGAGCCATTGATGGTCCATGCCGGTGCCTCCTGGCAGATCCGGCTGCTGTTGGCCGCCTCCTCAGAGGCCGAGGCCAGCCCTAGCCAGGTGGCCAGGGCCAGCACCAGCAGCCCCATCCTCGATCCCGGCCCTGGCAGGGGGACACAGGGTGTTACTCCTCCCAGATCCACTGCAACCCCAAAATATCTCCCTGCATCCTGCTCCAGGGCAGACAAGGACTGTGGGCAGTGTTGGCTTGATCCTGGCACTGGGAGCCAGGACCCCCACCCCAAGGGGCAAGGAAAGGGGGACGAGGTGGGGAATTGGAGCACCCAGCTCCTTGCTACTGTCTTTTGTGGGCACCCAGTGCCACAGCATCCTGTTCTCCCCTGGCAGTGGACACCTACTCCACATCTCAAGAAATGAAGGTGCTTCTCCTCCCATGGACCTTCTCCACTTCTCCAATCCCACAAAACAAACCCAGCCCCAGAGAGAGGTCTGTCTTTGCCCCAGAAAGGGAGTAGGGATACAGCCCTCATTATCTCAGCTGCCAGCGAGCAGCCACTGGGACAGAGATGGTTTCACCTTCAGGTCACCTTGAGAGTCCTTGATGCCCCACAAAGTGCTTTGGGGGTACACAGAGCCTTTAAAGCCCTTGAGTCCCAACATCTGCCTGAAGCCACGTCCTTCCAACCTAACCCAGCCCATCCCGGGATATTCTCCACCCCTATAATATCCAGCACGCTTAATGGGCAAGGGGGAGGATAGGGGTCCGGGGGGGAGGATCTGGGGAGGGAGCAGGGAGATGCAGGATCTGGTCAGGGTGGATGTGCCCCCACTCCTCAGCCCTCTCCCCGCGAGAACGAGCCCTCGATACCGCACTTCTCCTTGCTGCAGTCCTCCCTTGCTTCGGGCCCCAGCAGCTTTCAGCAACTTCCAGCTGGCCCTGGTCCCCCTTTTATCTCCTGTCCACTCTCCCCGCCCAGGAGGGAGGAGAAGGGCCTGGCTGGAGCGGGGACTGCGCCTCAGCCACCACCGCCTGCCTGGAGGGGACGGCGACAAGGCAGGCACTGTCCCCGTCGGTGCCATGTGGCCTCGGGGTGCTGGTGCCACAGCCCAGCCCCAGCCGTGCTGGAGCAAAGCGGTGCCTGGTGCCGGGCTGACGCCAGCGGGGGACAGGCGGTGCTGCAGGGAAGAGATGGACACAGCAGCTCCAAACCTCCCAGGCACAGGAGGGCTGCCAAGGACACTGCTTGCGCCAAAGGGTTGCAGGATTGTGGGGTGACCTCGAATAGCGCTATCCCTGCGCAAGGTCCCAGAGGAGCCACCAGTGCAGTCTCTGCTGCCCTGCAGCCAAAAAGATGCTGCCTCCCTCACACACCGGGGCGCTGGAGCTGCCTGCCCTGTGAGGCGTCACCCCAAAAGCCGGGCTGTCCTGTTGTGCCCATAGCCAAGTCTGGCCCCACAGCAGCTCCCCGGTGTCCGGTTCCATGCCTCCTGCCCGGCCCCACACTGGTGCAGCTGTAATGGTGTCGATGTTTCTCCTTGGGAAATCACAGCGACGCTGGATTCCACCCCCCAACCAAACAAGAGAAGCTCACCACTCTGGCAGCACAAGGACATCTCTGCAAATATTTAAGCAGTTTATTGTACCTGGGATCTGTACAAAAACATGATAAGGCAGGGAACGGCAGCAGCCACAGTCACAGCGGGGGCAGATCATGATCCCAGGCACACGTGGAGGGGGGATTCGCCTGAAAACAGCAGCGGGATAGAGGATCGCTGCTGAGGGGCTGGAGGGGCCCGGAGGTGTCTGGAGGCAAGGGTGTGGGGCCGTGGGTTGGATTGGTGAGCAGTCCCTCATGACTGACACCGGGCTTTCCGCAAAGGTGTCAGCCCCCACCCGCACACTGTTCCCAAGTCCCCAGCGGGTACCCTGAACACCGTGAAGTGCCCAGCACTGAGCAGGGACACGTTTCCCCAATTCATGTCCTGGGACTCGGGCTGGCAAAGAATGACCCTGCACAGACACGAGCTGTGTGTCCCAGGGAGCCTCCGGCCCCGTCTCTGCCCGGGGCGATGTCCCCGCTCCCCCGCCGGGAGCGCTCCCGCGGCCGCCCCGCAGCGCCCGGGCAGTGCCGGCGCCGTGCCCGGCCCGCCGTGCCTGGTGCATGCCGGGGAGGAGCGAACTGAACCGCCCTCGCTCCCGCCCCGCCCGGCGTCCCCTTCGCCCGCAGCCTTGACCCCGGTGAGCCGCAGCCCGGGGGCGAGCGGGGCCCCGCGGGCACGGGGGTGGCGGGGCGGGCGCGGGCGCGGGGCCGGCGGGAGCGGGGATCGCGCCGGTGCCGCCGTGCGCAGCGGGAAGCAGGGCCCGAGGGAAGGAGAGCCGGAGCCTGCCCATGTGCTCAGCGGGGTCCCACGCGGTCCCTCCGCCCTGGGCTGGTGGGAAGGAGCCGGGAGAGCTCGGTGCACACAGCCCCTTCGAGCGGGCAGGTGAAAGGGAATATTTCAGCAGGTGTGTGGCCCCCAGCCCACTGCACCCCTGTGCGGTCTGGCTGGGGCTGCTCGTGCATGCCATGGGGTCAGGAAGCCTCAGTGGGTGCTCTGGAGAGGTGATGCCGACTGGGGCTTTGGGCGCATCTTTTTTCGTCCTTGAGCATCACAGATATTTCGGATGGGTGGGAAGGAAGGTCACTTTTCCGAAGTGTCTCTCCTCTGTGCCCCTTGGGCAAGGTCATTGTTCCCAGACTGTTGCAGAGAGATGGTGGCTTCAGGCTGTCCTTGTTGGGGAGGGGAAGGGCACGGGCACATCAGCCTGTCATGACCCCGCCGCTCCTCTCCCTTCCTGGGACGCACCTGACAGGCGCGGGGGCAGCACAGGAGCATTTTAGCTGTAAACCAGCGTGTTGCTCCATGTTTACCAGTCCGACCTCTGTGTTCCTGGTACAGGACATTCCTACCACAACCCTTGTCCCCATAATCTTGCTTACACGTGCAGCACACCTCCTCCACTGGGAATCCCTGCTGACCTCCCTGCGGCACTCCCAAAGGACACATGGCTCCAGAGGGGACCTGCAGGGCTGCATCCAGGGCTCAGGGCTTTCCTGCTCTGGGACCTCAAGCATGGGGCAGGGCAGCAGAGTGGAGGGCTGGCAGGAAGGCACAACATCCTTGGGCAGCTCTTTGTAGCTAGTCCCAAAGGTGAGTGCCCTTTCACAGCACAAATTGGCTCTTGAGACCCACTTATTTAAAATACATACATTTAAAAGATGTGAGTTTACACGCATTTGCATCTGTGCTTGCAAACACAGGTGGGCTCTGTGCAAGGTGGGAGAATGGCTTTTCCCCAGGGCCAGCAGCCCCCCTGATCCCCTGCGTCCTCCCCGCAGCCTGCGCAGCCATGGCAGCCTCGCTGAGCCGCCCCTGCTTCATCTCCCTGCACCTGCCCTACAGGCAGGGCTGGGCCCAGCACCTGGCCAACACCTTTCGCTTCCAGCCAGTGGCCGTGAGGGAGACGCCGCGTGTCCGGCAGCTGGCCTTGCGACGGGAATCTGCCATCTTCCTTGTCAACGAGCGCCTGGCATCTGCCAGCACCTCATCCCGTGATTTCCTCTATGACATAGATCCCCAGCCCACCTTGGGCACAGCCTCCAATGTCTGCTTCGAGGTGGATGATGTGCCAGGGCTCTGCAAGCGGCTGCAGAGCCAGGGATGCTCCTTGCTGGTGCCCCCCACTGAGCTGAGCGATGACAGTGGTTCTGTCACCTACGGGGTGGTGAGCTCTGTCGTGGGCAACATCAGCCACACCCTTTTGGACCGATCCTGTTACCGGGGTCCCTTCCTACCCGGCTTCCAGCCCATCCAGGGAGCCCCCTCAGCCACAGGGGATGGGATCAAGATCACTCACTTCGACCACATCACGTATGTCTGCCCCAGGGGCGGGGCCCGGGCGGCTCTGGACTGGTACCAGCGCTGCTTTGGCTTCCACCGCTTCCTGCTGAACCCCCAGGAGAGACCGGCTGAAGGGTACGTGCTGGGAGGGCAGGGGGTGGGCATGCTGCTCCTCGCACTGCAGAGCGCCCAGGGCACCCCAGCACACGGCTGCAAGCTGGTCTTTGCCGAGTCCCTCTCCCAGAATGGCACCAACCAGGTCGACACGTTCCTGGAGCAGCACGGCGGGGCTGGGATCCAGCACGTCGGGCTCTGCACCACTGACATAGTCAGCACGACCAGGGCTCTGCAGCAGCAGGGAGCACGGTTCTTCACACCCCCCACCACGTATTACAGCCAGGGGGGCAAAGCACAGGAGATCCGAGGAGCTGGGCAGGACCCACACATGCTGGCAGAGCTTGGCATCCTCCTGGACACCAAAGTGTCTGGGGACAAGGGCCAGACGGGCACTGATGCCACAGAGAGTCCCTCTCAGGAATATCTGATGCAGATCTTCACCCATCCCATCTTCTCTGAGGAGACCTTCTTCCTGGAGCTCATTGACCGTCGGGGAGCCCCAGGCTTCGGTGAAGGCAATATCCGGGCACTGTGGAAAGCTGTGCAAGTCTACATGGACCAGCAGCAATAGTGCAACTCTGCAGTGCTCCCTCAGCTCCCCATCTTCTCCAGTCCAACGCTGGGGCAAGGACCAGAGATCCCACCCCTGGCATGGCCCAGGTGGGCAGGGACCAAAGGACAGCTCCAGATCAATCCAGAGCCAACTCAGTGTGGGAACAAGACACTCAGGCCTGAGTCCAGCGGGGGTCTGAGCATGCCTCAGGATGTGTGGGATTTCTCCGCTACCCTGGGTTCCCCGTGATTTATCGACCACATGTAAAGAAATTTCTGCCTTAGTTTCACCTTAATTTATTGAGACTTGAACCTGTAGCATGGCCAAAAGTGTGCTGGCACAGAAACAGCCCCAGACATAGAGAGGTGAGGGGCTGCCCGAGGGGAGTGGATAATCCGGAGGCCGTGGACACGGCCACACACTGGCAGCTACCACCCACAGCTTGACCAGCCCTGGGGGGCGAGTGGTGGCCTCTTGCTCCTCTCAATTAAATAATTAACTTACAAGCACTGCTTTGGGTTTTAAATCCTCCTATTTAAGATATGCTGAGTGCCAGGTGAGGATGAAATGGCCATTCCCATTACTTCAAGTGGGTGTGTCCCTAAAACTGAGATCATTGCCCCTTGTACCCTGCCACGACTGTGCCATGTCCCTGCCAGCCCCCAGCATTGTGCCTTTGCACGGGGTGCTTCAGTCAGCGTGAACAGTGCTGAGCAGCCCAAAAGAAAAGATATAAAAGGAGGATGAAATGCTACAGAAAGGCCTGGGGCAGTTGTTCAGCCCCAGGGAGGAGCAGCCCCTTGGGAGCTGATGTCTGTCCTTGCAGGAGTGCCTTATTTGGGGTCACCAGCAGTTAATGCTCAGTCAAGGGGCTCTTGGGTGCATTAATGAAGAAATCCCTGCTCTCCCAGCCCAGATCTAAGGAGCCTGTTGGCTATCTTCACATTCCACCACAGGCTGCCCAACACCCCCAGCTTAGCACAGTACAACAGAGACAGTCACTTAGAAAACCCCACACACTTGAGATTTATTTTCAGGTCCAGTAAAAACAAGGGAGGGTGCAGCAGCATCCCCAGTCACTGGCTGGTGGATGAGATGCAGGCAGGGGACAGGGCTGCAGGAGCAATGTGGCCACAGCCTTCCCACTGCTCGAGAGAAACCCCTGCTGCCCTAAGTCCACGGGGCCAAAGTAGTGCCAGTATGGGTCCAAACAGCCCCAGGAGGGCTTGAGCCAAGGAGGGATGGCAAGTCTGGCTCCAGGATTAATCCAGGACCAGTGACCACATCCAGGCACAACGCCCACAGCGGAGGCAGGGGAAAGGAAGAGTGGGAGACCATGATAGTGCTGTGGGCTGGGCTTGCTGCAGCACAGGGACAGCACTCCACACCCCAGACAGGCCTCGCCCCAGCGAGGGGCTCTGGGGTCTCCCTCGAGGAAGGTCGGTGCCCTCACGGGGCAGTCGGTGCCCGGAGGAAGGTGCGGAGGGAGAGCTGCGTCCCAGGGCAGGCGCTGCCTGCCCGCCGCTTCCGCTTGGAGCTCTGCAGGAGACACAGCAGGGCTCAGCCAGACCCCAAGGGCCCCCAGGGTCTCCAGGGATCCCCCCCCCGAGTACTGGGGACACCCAGGGGCAGTGCCAGTCAGGCCAGTTCCCCTGCCACAGGCTGGGGGTGCTCCTTGGCCTGATGCCAAACTCAGGGGGGCCTTCAGCACAGCACACCAGAGGCTGTCCCAGAGCACTGGGGCTCCAGGCACCCCGGATGGAGCCTGCTCACCTTGACAGGACTGCTCTCCTTCCTGCACTGCTTCTTGTGAGCTTTCAGCACCTGAAGGAAGAGCAAGAGAGCCCAGAGCTGAACAGCAGCAGGGTCCTGCCACTGGGACAGCCCAGAGAAGTTGAAGGGATTTTGCCAGGGGTTTTCCCAAGATAACTGAGGGCAGGGAGGAACGGCCCAAATGCCCCCCATACCTTCTTCATGGCTGTGGACACAGCCGAGGCATGGAACTCATCCTCTGTGACCCAGCGGGACGGGGACAAGGCAGGGTCCAGGGTCACATCCCCATCTAGGTGCAGGGAGTAGACCACATATGTCTGGTGGATGTGGGAGAAGATGTGGATGACCTGTGGGGGATGGAAAGACATGGGCGGTTGGCAGGCAATGGGGGATGCCAAGTGCACTGAGCCTGCCAGGGCCCTGAGGAGTGGGGCAGAGCTTGGGATGGGTGACAGTGGGGAAGGGAGACCTTTCTCCTGTGTGCTACATCCCCATGGCTGAGCACAGAGGACTCACACTGCATCCCTCCAGCTCCAGGCTCACCTCTCCAATAAACTGAAGGCCTTTGCCTGCCACAGGCCGCCCCATCCAGGCCTGGAGGTGATCAGCCAGCTCCTCCCTCTCCTTCTCCTCCTGCAAATCTTGAGCCAGTGGGAGACTTGGGAACTCCCAGAGCCCAGCCAGGAGACCTGGGAAGGAGTCATGATGTAATTGTGAGACAGAAAGGGACACATCCAGGGACACTGAGCCTCATCACAGCCCCAAAGGGCTCCTTTCCCCACCCCAGCAACCAGTGCCTCTCCCTCTATCCCTCACGCAGGTGGGAAAGCACCACGTGGTGCCTTTGTCCTCCTCCTTCCCAGCCCCATTACCCGAGCTGGGTCTCTGCACTATGAGGTATTCTGGGGCCCCATGGCAGCCCCTCCGCTCCAGCACACACGTGGCCGTTCGCATCACCCGCGGTGGCTTCTTCGCTGCTTTCCGGGGAAAGTTGGTCACCCCCAGGCTGCTGTCCCATGGCTCTGTGGCTGGGGGGCACAGGGGACAGTCCCCAACACCTGCAAACACCAAGGTAACACAGTTGCTGCAGGGCTCAGACCTGGAGCTACAACAGAGATCTCCCCACATGCTTACCACAGTCCTCAACATCAGGCACTGGGAGGGGTTTTCCAAACAGATTCTGAGAGGCAAAGGTGAGCTCCTTCTCCACCTGAGAGTGGGGACAGAAGTGAGGACAGGCTCATCCACCAGCCCACCTTGTCGCCAGGCATGGCAAACCCTCAGGGCCATGTTCTGGGGCCAACTTACTCTGCGCCACGCTTGGCAGTGCTGCTTCACAGGGCACTCCCCACACAGTGGGGCCTTGGGCACACACACAGTTGCCCCCAGCTCCATCAAGGCTTGGTTAAAATCCCCTGGGCGACTCCTGTCCACCAGTACATTGGCCATGTCCCTGGAGAAATGGCAGTGAGAGGCACAGGGATCTCCAGGGAGAGCATCCCATGACCTTTGCCTGCCTCCTGCCTGTCGGGGGGAAGCTCCTAGGTAGGCACAGTCAACACAGCTCCTTTTACCACTGCTCCCAGCAGCACCAACTTCCCAAGAGTTTCCATACTCCACACCTGCCTCCCCAAGGCTCCTGAGTGATCCTGCCTTTAGTCATGATCAGCACAGCTCCAAACAGACAGAGCTTTCCCCTTACCAGAGCCGGTCGATGACAGCCGGGCTGCTGGAGTCGGCACCAATGCATCGCAGGCGGCACAGGACCCGGATCACATTCCCATCCACAACTCCTGTAGCCTGGGACCAGAAGCTGGGATCACCATGCTGGGATGTGCTCCGGACAAAGAAGGGAGCTGGGATGCTCCAAGGATGGAGAGGGACAAACGCGAGGCCAACTCACAGGCCAGGCTGGGTGGGGGCTGAGATGCATCCCCAAGTGGGGAGAGAGCCAAGCACAACCCTGGGGAACCTTTGGCTTGTGAGACCCAGCAGCAGGACCCTGTCAGGAGTGGGGCTGGGCAGGAGAGGGGGACACGTGTCCCCTGACGCCAGCTCTCACCTGTCCGTACGAGATGGACGCGATGGCTCCCGCCGTGTATCGGCCCACGCCCGGCAGCAGCTTCTGCAGGTCCTCAGCCATCCTGGGCATCTGGCCAGCCAGCTCGGACACCACCTGGCAGGGAAGGGGCCGAGCTCAGGGAAGCAGCTGGGGTGGGTGTGTGCAGGTATCCCATTTTGCCCGTGGGAGGATGGGAGCCCAGCCTCTGCAGCTTTATGCCAGCAGCACAGCCCCAGCGAGGCAGGGCAGATGTGAGCCAGCACCAGCCCAGCAGCCACGGAAGGGTTTAGAAATGCCCCTTCCCCCCCACCTCCGGCACCTTCCTTGCTGCTTCCTGCAGACGCTTCCCTCTGGAGTAGTAGCCAAGCCCAGCCCACAGCTCATTCACCTCCTGCTCCGAGAGACACAGCGTGGTGTTAATGGAGAGCCACAGGGCAGGGAGAGCACCTGGTCCCAGCAACGCTCACCTCCAGGGACGCCTGTGCCAGAGCCTGCAGCGTCGGCCACTTCTGTGGGAAGAGGGAAGGGGACAAGTCAGGGACAAGCAGAGTTGTGCTTTGCCACTGGGGATCTGCCACAGGCAGTGGACAAGGTCTCCAAAAGGGGCAGCCTGTGGGCACAGGACTCTGTAATGAGCAGTCACCTGCATCCAGCGGTTGTAGTAGTCGATCACTGTAGCCACCTGTGTCTGCTGGAGCATGATCTCGGACACCCACACTGCAGGGAGCAGGGCAAGGGTCAGAGCAGAGGCACCAACACCACCCACACCTACTGCTGTGGCCACCTTAGCACTGCCTACAAACCCTGCACTGCATCCAGCTCATGGGACACCCTCCCACCCCTCACCTTCCTCACATGCTGCCTCACAGGAGCTCCCCCAGGCCAAAGGTGGTTTCTCCAATCCTCCAGCGCCTTGCAAGGGGAATCAATGGCTCTCGTGGCCACTTCAGGCAGCTTATTCCAAGGATGGCACCCAAAGCCACACCTCACAATGTCAGTCCCTGCTCCTCACCTGCATATCCCCGTCTGTCGGCATCTGGCTCCGTCACTGCCTGGAAGGGGAAGAAGATGAAACGTGAGAAACAAGGTGACACAGGACCCCACTGCAGAGGGGACCTGCACGTAAAATAAAACAATCCATAGTGTGTCTTGAACACTGCAATGGAATCTGGAATTTAAAAAAATATTTCCTGCAAGCACTCAGAAGATCTGAATTTGAGTTAATCAAGTGACAGCCAAAGCATCTTCTTGCTGATGAAATCCCACATGGAGAGCTACTTATGAGGTTCAAAATCCCACTGAGAACTGTCCCATACCTGAGCCCACCTGCAAAGGAAGCAGATATAAATCCCACAGAGGGGCTGTGCAGTTCCCACCATTCAGACGTTGCTGTAAAGCTGATGCCCACCCTCAG